ATAATCATATAGACAAAATCTAACCTTATTGTTACCCTCTGTTAGTGTTGGTGGTTCGTTAACTATCAGCACTTCTCTTCTTCGATACGAAAAGAAACAAAGACCTGTGAAGACAAGGAAAAAGATGAGGAGATTATAGGGCAAAACGGACGGCTGAAAAAAATTTACCGAAGGAGACAATTTAGGCTAAACACAATGATTCTAAAGAACATGAGCATCTAACCTATTATGTCTCCAATCCAAATCTGGAAACATTGATTTCTTGACCGTACACCACGTTGGATTCCAGTTAAGGTGAAAAAGATTGAAAGAAAGGGGATAAGATATGGGTACAAATTAACACCTAATTCTTTTCAAATCTGTGTGGAAGGAAGAATCGAAAGTGTGAATGCTGCTGGGGCGAATCTTGCTAACGGAGGAAGAAAAAAAAAAACTGAACTGACGTCAACTTTGTTCTTCACACAGCAGTCAAAACTCAAAAGGGGAAAGAGAAAGGGGATAAGAAGTTCGGGCAACTGGGAAGAAAAGTTGCTCGTAAATTGCAGCGGCCACAGGGGGGAGAAAAGAGCGGTTCATCATGCCGCCAAACTTTGTTAAGAGGAAAAGAGAATCGGAAAACGGGGGGAAGAAGTTCCTCACGAGAGGCCGGCCAAAGGGGGAAAACGAAGCGGTCCAACACAGAGTAACCACGTCAGCATCTTTCACCGGGAACCCCCCTTTAACCGTGCAACAAAAAGGGGATTCCTGCTTATATATATACTAGCTTGGATGCACCGCACAATGTGCGGTGTTTGGAAATATTTACCCATGTGATGATATTATAAATGTTGATTCACCGATACTTTTCTGGTTTTAGTACAACTTGTATTATAAGTAAAACTATTGTCAGATTTTAGTACATTTTTGTACACACAAAAGAAGTCTCATTTTCCTCAGGTATATTAATAACAAAATGCACATCTCTGCAATATATATGTAAAAGTTCTCATACTTTTCCTATCTGTACAATTTAGGAACTGGTTTTTTTTTCTCCATCTACATTCCTACGGGTTATGTAGTGCTGTTAATACCGGAGTCTGGAGCTATCGAAACTAATATTAGGCAAAAACTCCCACTCTCCATCACACAGAGTCTTGGATTGCTTATCTCACTTTGAAAGTTCTGGGGATGCTGCAGTCAGTTGAACATGTAGCGTCTTCAATTCTTGATGCAGCACCTGCCAGACGCGTATGATGTCTTCCAATCTTCCCTAGTGCATACTTTACAACGCCACAGTTGTATGAAATCTTCATTGTTGAAGCGCATAATTCTAGGTTTTCTTTTTCAAGTCTCTTTTTCTTTCTTTTCCTTCTGTTCTGAAATCATCATAATCTTGTTATCTTTCATCAAAGAGAGAATGTTTCAAAAAATATTTTAAAAAAATGGTGAAAACAATCACCAAACATAAAAATTTACAATAATATCTGAAATTAATATAAAGGAAAGTCTTCTCAGATAATAGGTTTTGGATTAGTTTGTGAACAAAAAAGTGAAAGGCATAATTTAGAATAAAACTGACCAGGCTCAAAACTGGATTTCTACATGGCTATCAAATGAGCAATCCTAGCACTCCTAGGAACCAAGTAAATTTGCCACTCAAGTAAATTTTGAAAGAAATTAAACCTTTACTCAAGTTGTTTTCACTTGCATATGGTGATATATGAAGGACGACTAACATCTTCTTTCACTGTTTTTTTTTAAAACTAATATAAAATATGATAGATGAGAGGTAGGTGCAGACTGTACTCTTCGTAAAATTTTTAATTTAATGACTGAAAGATGACAGTACATGTGAGAAAGATGCCAATACATACTGGACATACTCTTGTTAAATATAACTAATTATCATACGCCATTTTATGCATACTCAATTCACCAAAACAACCTATGAAAGAAACTGATAAGATTCAGAAAGCTTATTGTCATTTCCTTAGTCCCTTACCTGGCCATAGGCACAGGCAGCCGTATCAAATCGCCGCCACCTTGCATCTTTTTTTCGGAAACCCATGACCATTTTCCTCCACACCTTGCATAATTCTGCCCTTTAAAGCACAGGTTGCATATTTCTAAATTTGTCACTGGGGTCTGAGCAAAAACGGAACTACTTTGGTCAACTGGCAACCTCCCTCATCGAAAGACAAATTCAAAGCAAGAGGAAAACTCCCTATAAAAATCCCAATCAGTCGACATTGATATGACCAATCGGTGAACGTCTCACCGATCAAAGTATTAAGAGCATAAAAACCATTAACAATTAATTTGAAATCCGAAAACCATTCATTTCTATAACCTAACACTCTTTGTAGCATAATATCGAACACCTTGGGTACACTAAAACATGCATTCAGAATTGTATTTGTTGCCAAATTTTTCAGCCAGCCGCAAAACTACGCATAGTTTTATTTTTTTTCACGAAAGAAGCAAATCTAAAGTGTAAAACTTAATTAAGTGTAATACTGCAATTCCCACACTCCTGACCTCTGCCCAATACTTGCCAATTTTTTACTCACAATCAGAAAACATGCAAGCCCCATTAGCAGATCAAGCAATGGTTATTTTGGCACCTTTCCAACATCAAAACACAAATTCAAAGCAGAGGGAAAAACCATTTAAAATTCCCAATTAGTCTAAATTGATATGAGCAATCGGAGAACATTCCATTGAATGAAATTATTAAGAACATAAAACTCATTAACAATTGACCCTAAAGTGAACACTTTCAACACACTAAACATGCTATTAAGATTGGATTTGTTATCAAATTTTGGGCAAATGAAAAACCAGATATAGGTCTTTTTTTAACACGAAAAAAGAAAGATCTTAGCTAACCTTTACTCTGGCACCAGCAAAACTGGCTATTGCTATCGTCGGTCTTCAGTTTGGCAACAACGGGTCTGATAGAACTAAATTTGAAAGGAATGAAGACTTGAAGTTTTGCGTGGAGCCGTGGACAATAGAACAAGCCGCGTACAAGAAAATGCAACTGGCAACCGAAGGAGAACGTCAGGTTGAAGAAGTGGACGGCTAAAGGGAGAAAAAGGGGGTGCAATCACACGCCGCCACGTCACCAAAAACAGCCGGCAACTTGCACTTAACCGTGCAACAAAAAAGAGATTCCCTTTTATATATATATATATATAGATTTTTGGGCAAATGAAAAACCAGATATATGTCTTTTTTTAACACGAAAAAAGAAAGATCTTAGCTAACCTTTACTCTGGCACCAGGAAAACTAGCTATTGCTATCGTCGGTCTTCAGTTTGGCGAAACAACGGGTCTGATAGAACTAAATTTGAAAGGAATAAAGACTTGAAGTTTTGCGTGGAGCCGTGGACAATAGAACAAGCCACGTACAAGAAAATACAACTGGCAACCGAAGGAGAACGTCGGGTTGAAGAAGTGGACGGCCAAAGGGAGAAAAAGGGGGTGCAATCACACGCCGCCACGTCACCAAAAACAGCCGGCAACTTGCACTTAACCGTGCAACAAAAAAGAGATTCCCTTTTATATATATATATATATATATATATATATATAGATTTTTGGGCAAATGAAAAACCAGATATATGTCTTTTTTTAACACGAAAAAAGAAAGATCTTAGCTAACTTTTACTCTGGCACCAGGAAAACTGGCTATTGCTATCGTCGGTCTTCAGTTTGGCGGAACAACGGCTCTGATAGAACTAAATTTGAAAGGAATAAAGACTTAAAGTTTTGCGTGGAGCCGTGGACAATAGAACAAGCCACGTACAAGAAAATGCAACTGGCAACCGAAGGAGAACGTCGGGTTGAAGAAGTGGACGGCCAAAGGGAGAAAAAGGGGGTGCAATCACACGCCGCCACGTCACCAAAAATAGGCGGTAACTTGCACTTAACCGTGCAACAAAAAAGAGATTCCCTTATATATATATATATAGATTTTTGGGCAAATGAAAAACCAGATATATGTCTTTTTTTAACACGAAAAAAGAAAGATCTTAGCTAACCTTTACTTTGGCACCAGGAAAACTGGCTATTGCTATCGTCGGTCTTCAGTTTGGCGGAACAACGGCTCTGATAGAACTAAATTTGGAAGGAATAAAGACTTAAAGTTTTGCGTGGAGCCGTGGACAATAGGACAAGCCACGTACAAGAAAATGCAACTGGCAACCGAAGGAGAACGTCGGGTTGAAGAAGTGGACGGCCAAAGGGAGAAAAAGGGGGTGCAATCACACGCCGCCACGTTACCAAAAATAGGCGGTAACTTGCACTTAACCGTGCAACAAAAAAGAGATTCCCTTTTATATATATATATATGTAGATGTCTATATCGTCCATAAAGGATTTGTGTGTGTGCGCGTGCGTACTCTTCTCCCCCTCCCCCACCCCCGCGGCTATTAAACAATTTTATCCAGAAGTAGTAGTCATAAATGGTGTGGAATTTATTTACCAGAACAGTGGATGAAGTAAATGGCGTAATAAATTTGTGCCTTCAATAATGAATGGAGTTGGGTTGGGAATGCAAAGGACAGCGGGGTTTTGACTTCACAAAAATTCATTTCAATCATGCATCTTATCATATGATACTATCAATTCATTCCAAGCAGCAAATAAAAAGGTCGATTTCATTTCAATCATCATACTTTCCTGCACTCACTCGTCATGACTCATCGTAAATTACGTTGGTTCTCTTTCGTTTCGTTCTAAAATAAAAGTCTCGTTACAGATATTCTATTTTAATATAGAAGAGAAAGAGTAAGAAAAACAAACTTCCTCTCATCACCAGTTCCATTTGATTTGATACCCTACATCATGCTTACATTTTGTATCTATTTTAAAATTAAATATCACTCTTTCGGCAAAAATCTGACCTTAGATGACATTTTAAACCCCCCTTGTCATGCATCTCCTACCATTTGGAAGTTGGAAATTCTTGCTTCTTTTTCTTTTCTTTTTCTCTATCTTTTTTGTTATGAAATTGAGTTGTCGATTACGCATGAATTGGGACATTGTATTTGTCCACTAAATTATATCTTGAGAGTTTGATGTATCAAACTAGTCTACCTATTATAATACTATTAATTAATATTTGTCAAGTTACAGAGGACAGATATATAATCATCCTTTGGAATTGGTCTGCCTGTACGTGTATGTAAAATGGCGATGAAACACAAATTTCATTATTCTAATATATGTGCTAACTAACTACCTTTCTAAAACCAACTTTTTTCTTCCTTTCATTTCTGTCCAAAAAATGATACTGGAACAATAGGGATATAAGCCTTCTAAGCATTCACCAAATGGAGGCGAAATTAGCCAACTGCAATCTTCGAAATCAACAGAAATCCGCAGGCTTCCCAATTTTGATGTTCTGTTGACCTAGATAATCAGTTATCGCATTCTTTTGCCAGCTCTTGAAACTCCTGCAGGGATTATCGTTGCCATGTTAACACAAAATCAAAATGAAACCACACCCAGGACAAGTTCAAGAAGCAAGCAGAAAACTGAGCGGAGGGGAATTTTTATCTACTTCAAGTTCTAAGTGTAACATACTTCCTCCATTCCAAAATATATGTCGCTGGAGGAGTTTCACAAAGTTTAAGGAGACAATAAATATCTGGTTAAAATACTAAACTACCTTCATTTATTTTCAATACAATTCTATTCCCAATATCATTTAGTTCTATTTCTAATTTAAATACAATTACAATTTCTCATATAGAGGCAATGGTGGAAGAAGTTGATAAAACATGCCTAGATATGCGAAAACGATATCTATTTTGAAAAAAATTGATTTTCCTCCAACGGACATATATTTTGGAATGGATGGAGTACTACTTTCTCCTTTTTGTACCCAAAAAAAAAGAAAATGAGAAATAACAAACTTTTGGAAACCACAGAGAACTTGGAACTTGGACAACAATAAGATGAACCAATCCCAACAGTACCCCGCATCATAAGTTACCAACAAAAAAACACAAATGGGCATCAAACTAATTCATGGAAATAACCACTTTCATGTCCCCTTTCCATACTCCGAATTTATGCAAAATGAAAATCCTTTTCAAACTTACTTATGATCGAGATGTGCCAAAATTTCGCCACCAGGGAAAGAAGCTTTGGTGGCATCAAAAGCAACTTTGATTGCTTCTTTCCAAGTCCCTCCAATGCTTTCAGGACTTACTTTTCCTTTTGATTGGCCTGGTTCTTCCATTAGTAATGAATATCCAGATAGGAGATGGCCCACCCAAAGACCATCTTTCCTGCAATATACCACAATAATGAAAAAGCATATGATGCAAGATCTCTGCATTATTCAATCACTTTTCATTTTTTCTAGTATAATAGATGAATATAAGGAGCAACAGCATGCAAAGTAGCAGAAGGTAAATTAAAGGACCAAACCCAAGTTTCAGGAAGGTGTTAACAGGACTACAGTTTGATAAAAAATTAAAGAAAACCTCATGTCATGAACCAGATAAATACTCAAATCTCCCTGAGTTTAAGCATAATAACCATTTTGGAAATGTCTGACTTATGGGCTCCAAAAAAGTATCTCGAATAAGAAGTGATCACAAGAACATCCTCCACAATGAAGAAGAACTTCGTGCGAGCACTTGAGCTGGAAGCCTGGAACAAGAAGAGATTACTTACATGATAATATCCATATGCCGAGGCACATAATGCCCTCCACCGATTCCAAGAAGGACTTTCTTCCTTTCAGTCTCACTGAAGCATGAAAAATCAATTAGTTTGGTAAAACATGTAGAATAGGATACCAGAGTGCTCTTCAGCGTGTTAAAGGTAATGAAATGAACAACAAAAGATATAGAACTAACAAGGGAGTGTAGCTTCCTTGTCTGATAAAAGCAACTGAAGTGAAGGGTCAGAAATGAGAGCTACTTTAATGTTATTCTTGATGCACTTTATCAATTTCTTGATACATAAAAGAGATTACATCTTTTACAGATGAATATATAGCTGTAACCGGAGATTAACATTAATGAGAGAAAACTTGAACAATAACTGACCTGCTCCAATTTCCAACAGAAGCACCTTCTCCAAGCCCAAGTCCCTCCCATACTAACTACATGAAATGAACAGAGTTGATTTGAGGAAACCAAGCAAATGAAAATTTTAGCATGCTCATGACATTGTGACATTTTAGAAGCATTCCACCACAACGAGGAAATGTCAAAATAAAGAGAATACGGGAGATAAATAGGCTGATGCAGCCTGCATTTATCTAGTAACACCTATCCGAATGAAATAAGACATGGCGGGACTGACTGAGAAATCCTGAGACTTATGGCTAGATGTCATTGGGATCTCCTACAAAATGTATTAATCTAGAGGACTCGATGGAAGCAGGGTAGTCATGCATAAACCCCAAAATTACATAAAGACTTTTTGCTGCTACTGAGTCTGGCCAAATAAACTGAATACAATGTCAGGAAAGAAATAACTCAAAAATGAAACATTTAAACTTTAATGCAATGAATAAGATGATAGACAAAATGTAATTGCAAGAGCATAAACCCAACCTGAGCAATGACCTGAGCTGCATCCTCTCTCTTCCAGTAATCTTCGGTACTGCCTATTTCAAAAGAATAAAAAGGCTTCAGACACACTAGAAATGAACAGCATAGATTAACACAAAAGAGAAAACAGATAAACTGGCTAGGCTTTTGGGTTCAGGTCACACAAGGAGAGAAATGGAAGAAAAACAGCTCGATTTCTAAAGAAGGCACTTCAACAAATCCGCCATCCACTCATGGAAACAATTGATTTCGGACAACTTTTTACTTCTGTCCAAGTGGTCTACATGAGTTAACTAAATTGGCTAAAATATTATAAGGATCAAACTATTCTTATTGGAACTGATAACGCCGAGGAAGGTATTCACAAATTTAAATGTAAAAATTAACATAAGAAATTATATCAAGACAATGGGCAGAGTTCTTCTGTTACTTACCAATCTCAATAAACATTGTGGGCTTAGTAGTTACAGGGCCATGATGAGTAGCCTCCAACGTAATCTACATAATGCAACAAACAAATTAGTAACTCTTAAAATATTTCTGAGGGCATACCCCTCAGAGATTGAAGATTCAAAGATTAAGCTGAAAAGCCATTCTCAAAAAATGCTACTATCACCGTGCCAAAAAAATAGTTTACATTGAGTTTTCAAATTTGTACTAAAAACAGTACAAAACTCCAAAAATCAATGTGGACTATTTTTTTGGGACGTTGGTAGTATTTGGTTGCTGCCATTCTAGATTGAAACCCAATTTGTCTTATTCAAATTATAACCAATATTCAGAAGTCAGAACTGAAAGACATGGAGCTGGACCTCAAATTCAGGAAGGAGGTTATGAGATTGAGCGATTTTCTTCAAAAGAATGAGCCAAGGACCCATCTTAGGACTGGGAGGAGCTGCCCATCCTGGCCGCCCTCCTTGTGGAACTTCATCCCCTTCTTTCAAATGTGGAATTCCTAAAACAACACAATAAAAAACAACCACAGAAGCTCAGCACACTGACACCTCTAAACTACTGAATCATCCCCAACACATTTACGACCCAACTTATGAAATCAACACATGCGAATCCTTTCAAATCCTAACTTCACCAACTAAAAACCACAAGATAGCATAAAAAATGGCTACAATGCATGCAAAAACATAATCCCCGGAAATCCCAGATGGCTTTAAACATACTAAAAAGATCCCAGAAACAGAAAATTGAGAAATACCAATGGGGTGGATAGTGAGGGCAGGGCGATTGGAGACGGCTTTGTGCTTGCTAAGAAAAATAACCTCATCAACGGTTTCGCCGGTGGCTATTTCCCAACGCAGGTCCAAATCATCCTCATCAATGATGCTGCTGTCGTGCTCCAACAACCTGACTTTATCCCCGAAGCTGTAACTCCTAATGCCATCGAAAGTTGGGCCCGGTTGATTCCAACCGGGCATAGCCAAGAGGGCTTTGGCCGGGTTTATGGATGCCGGATCAAGGGTTGTTGCCACCACCAGAATCACCATGGCTTCAGCGTCGGTTGTTTGTTTCTTCTTCTGATTGCTGCTTTTTTGGCTGTGTGCAGAAGGGACAGAAATGCTTGGAATTTTATTCGTTTTCTGCTTTGACTGGTGGTGGTGGCGGCGGAAGAAGACCTGTGGGCGGAGACGGGCGAACAGGGAAACAGGAAAGTAGAATACTACTCTGCCTCTGTTTCCAAGTGGGGAAAGTATGAAATGTCTTGAGAACACTGGGAAAAGTGAATTAATTTTTTCACATTGGGGGTTTTATTTGATTTGATGTTGAACAAATTTGGAATTTGGATAAATGAGATTGAACATGATTACACTGATTTTTTTCATTCTGGGTTGAGACAGTATTACTAAACTGAATGCATCAAACAAAGAAAAAAAATGAAAAAAAATTGATTGGCAAAACCCAAACGGCCAAATCCAATCTCAAACCTTAACTAATTTCATCACCAAAACGATAAGTTATAGGTGTAATAATAATCTAGCAAATAAGACATCAATATATTATGAAAAAATCAATTCACGTCTAATACCAAACTAATCAAAATCGAACTAAAATTATTTAAAACAAAAGGCACCAAAAGAAATGAAACCAAGGGCGTGCTCGTGTTGTTATTGGTGATCGGAATCGGTCCATAGACGGAGAGAACCCGATAGAACACGGTTGAGGGAAGAAGAATTCGGCTGGCCGATGTATATACTGGAGCCGATATTTCTGGCCGATGTTAATGGTTGAGGAGGAGTAAAATACTGAGAAGGGAGGGAGAAGAAAACTGCAATGTCAAAAAATGTTGCTGCCCAGGATCGAACTGGGGACCTTCAGTGTGTAAGACTGACGTGATAACCACTACACCACAGCAACTGATGTTTAATATTTCGTCACTATATTTATTAAAACATTAATTTTAAAAATTTTAAATTCCTATCTTATATATTTCTTAGTATTTTTTTTTTTGAGGAAAAATTCTTAATGAGTACAGTATTTTAAATATTTCCTAAAGTATAAAAAGAATTAAGAAATTAGGTTTTACCTCTCTTACATTAAACCAAAAGACATTAATTTTTTTTTAATTTTTTTTTTTAAAAGAAAAAATGAGGGCAAAGGGGAAGGTTTCTCCCTCCCAAGGAAGACACTCACAGTAAGGAGTGAGGGAGGACACATGTTTCAATCAGCCACTCTGTTATGCAAAATCTCAAGAATTACTACTTTTATTGTTATGGCTCCAAAACCCCAACGCTTTCGTCAATCATGTAAGTCTTTCTCTTGCTTTTCCAATTTCACTTTTCTGCCTTTCTTCAATTCTTGTTTTCTCCCTGCGTTTGGTTATTGCTTATAGAAGGAACCCTTTTTTTTTTTGTTTTCCATTGAACAGTTGGTAATAGCTCGTTGAATGATTCTGTAAAGAAAGCCAGGACCATCTGCTCCGCCGCTGACTCCGACGACTCGTCTAATTCTACAATGAAAGAGGCCTTCTCCAGTTATACCCAATACCTTAATAACCTCGTACGTTTATTTTCCACCTCTCTATTTACTTCATTGATATGTGCATCTACAGGGGAAGGAAAAAAAAAAAAACAAATTCGTAACTTGGGTTTGGTTTATTAAGTATTCTCTTTTGATATATGAATTGCATTGAGAACACCTTGAATGTTAATGCGGGGTTTTCGAAATTTCTTCTTTCGTACTTTATGTAGTGTTTGAGCAGAAGTCCATGCTTAAAGGGGGTTTCTTTTTCATTTTATGTGTGGTTTTGCTTGAATTTGTGTTTGGCCTGTCTGTGTCACTGAGAAGAAGAAATAATGGTAATGGACAGGACAGAGATAGAATGAGTAACTATGTGCTGGTTGGCGCTTGTTTTTTATTTTCCTTACAAATGGACGCCAATGTTAGTTTGTATGTTCTACATTAAAATGGATTGTGATCACTTACTATCCAGAGCTGTTAGTAATGCATCGACAATGGAACTTCTTAGTGGTTACTCGAAGATTTCTAATTTTCATGCAAGCTGTTTAGAACAAGCCGCCTAAGTGCTAAGCCTTTTTATTTGAAAGTTTACTATTTTTATTTCCTCTGGTTATTTGGAGTATTAAGGATCAGGAGATCATAAGTAGTATGCTGGACCTCTGATTAGTGTCCTGGACGGATAGATGAAGAGCTTTTCTTTTTGCTCATCCTGATGTTCAGTGCATTACTATGAGGCTTATACATTGGCACATGCTGTCAATGGCCCTTTGCTTATGGAATTCATTTTAGAGAAATGAGTTTTAATTCAATGCTATGTATTAGTTCCCTTGCGAGGACCATCATAAATCTCACAACATTTTCTGGTATCTGAGGTTTTATTTATCACTGATAGAGACATGTTTATCGTAGTTCATAATTATTCATCTTCAACCAAGAGTATATTATTTTTTATACTTAACTCCGGTAGATGAGGAAATGGGAAGAATACCCTTAAAGTAGTTTGGATATATTAGGAGACTTCATATTGCAATAAATGATAAGTCTAAATGGCTAATTGTTATTGTTTTCTTGCTTTATGCATTTTACAATAGTATCTTTTGGTTCCAATGTTATAGTTTCGATTAACATTGTTACTGTTATATCCTATTAAAAGACATATAATATTGTCCCTTAGAAAACAGGCCACTGCATCAACCTCACTTGTAATGCCTAAATTATAAAGGGTCGGCATCACAGTAAAGAGTGAAAGTAAATATTTCTGTGCATGCTTCAGAATAAATCTACTCCCATAGCTCTCAAAGATTCTCTGAATTGTTTTATTTTCATGTGGAACAAGAATGAAAAACGAGAAAGAGTGGTGAAAGCAAGTCGTGACATCACCATGAATAGCAAGAAGGTCATATTTCAGGTTCACAGGTTAGAATATTAGTTAAACTAAACAAGAATAGGTTCTTTCTTGTACCAATCCCTCGCTCATTTCATTGATTATGGTTTTCACTGATAGAATTAGCAAACAGAACAAGGAGGAAGTTCTTGCAAAAGCAGAAAAAGATCTTGCAGCTGTGAAGGATCAGTACATTGGCCGACTTGTACAGGAACTTCAAGGTTCTGATTTCTGGAAGCTGAGACGGGCATATTCTCCAGGGGTATTGCATTTGTGCTTCTCATTTCATATAGAAATCAAAAGAGGATAACTATTTATTTACTAAATTTGTTGCAACGCCATAGGTTCAAGAATATGTTGAAGCTGCAACGTTTTGTACTTTCTGCAAAACTGGGTCTCTTTTGGACCTCGATGAGATGAATGCGACATTATTACCACTTAATGATCCATCTATTGAGCCTTTGCAAATTAACATCCTTGACTACTTGCTTGGGGTACTGCCTTCATTTTCCATATTCAGAAGCAAAAGAAAATTAGTTTCTGCCTTTAGATATTGCTCCGACAAGAGCTAGTTCTTACATCTAATGTTTGACTGTTCAACTGTTGCAAATGTCTCTCTTATAGCTTGCAGACTTGACTGGTGAGCTGATGAGGTTGGCTATTGGTAGAATCTCGGATGGTGAAGTTGAGTTTGCTGAGAGTATCTGTAAGTTTGTTCGTGAAATCTACAGGAAGCTGACTGTTCTTGCCCCCTTAATGGATGACAGTTATGACATGAAAACAAAAATGGACACCATGCTACAGAGTGTTATGAAAATTGAGAATGGTTAGCTCCTGTATCCATATTTATGCTACTGTTACCTTTTGCCTATTGTGTAAATTTGTGACATAAAGTTGGATGGTTTAAAGAAGAAGCTTTCTGCAAAGTGTGTTAACAAAAGATCTATGGTTTCCTCAGTGGGGAGCTGGGGTGGTGCTTGTTTGTTTTGATGAGAAAGAGTTCCAATGCAGAAAGCAATAGTAATACTAACACATCATCTACTGGAATCACTGTATATTTTCTTATTTGCGATTTCAAACTTGTCTGTTAGTTTCCATGTGTTTGTTTAAATGCTGCTAGTAACCTCAAATCTCTTCCTTTCTGAAGTTGAGATCTTACATTTTAAGATAGCTCAGTTCTAAGATATTTTGCTTTCTGTTGAGACTTTCAGATAAATTGTTTGCATCATAGTTTCTGGAATCTGCTACAGTAACAATATTTGTGATGAAGTTACAGTTCTCATGGATTGCATTTCTTACCTAGTAGATTTTACTTCTATGCAGCTTGTTTCAGTGTTCATGTAAGAGGATCGGAGTATATTCCACTTCTTGGATCTGCTGATCCTAGTTATGCACTCATTGGTGTTGGTGATTATGAATGATATGGTAATATTTCATCACACTGAGTTTTGAAAAACAGAATCTGATGCTGCTCTTCTTACATTTCCTAATGTTCTAGCTTTCTGCTGCAGGTGGCTACCCAACATTACTAATGGGAAAAAAGAAGTTACTGGATCGGATGAAATACTGTTTTGCACATAATTACCTACTAGCTCATGGTAAAGTTCCTCTTTCATTCAGTGTACTGTATTGAACTAGCAGAGATTTTGATGTGAAATGTTTTGCTGTAGTATTCCATCAGTTATAATTAAGTTCCTGATGTAATGTATGAACACCCTTTCCGCTTCTTTTCTTTAGCTTGGAAGTAGGAAGTAGTGATGCAAAATGGCAAAATTGTCCGATGCTCCTAGTCTTCTATCGAATGAAAACCATTTCGACACATTAACCTTTTGCTACTACTATCTGCCGGGCTTCATTTCATCAGGGATTCTGGGGGGATAAAACACTGGTGTATGATGTGTTTGTTATGATTCAAATTTGTTGACAGAGTCTCAAGCTCACAAATATAATGGTGAATCCAAACCTTGGCCTGTGTACATCGTAAGTTAGGCGATGCATGTTTGATAATAGGATAAAATATAAGTTTTTCACTTAGACCTTCGTTCTTATGGTCATTTTCATCATTGATGTTGACATCTGACTTCCTGAACATAAGCAAGTTATTTCAGTCGGCCAAATCGAGTTCCAGTCAATATACGATACATTACGTTCAGTCAATATAAAAATAAAGAGTGGTTACCACAAGCAATTCATCAGTCAGGTCGACTTAATGGAAAAATAATGTAGTTTACTGTTTTATGTCAATTCTTCTCGCTAATATTGCAACCCACTGAAGCTGTTTGTCAAAACTTCCGTACTCAAGTCATAACTTTGTTCTGCACTCAAATGTATGTTCTTTTCGGATAGCGTATTGACTCAATTGTCTTAAAACAAATAATAAAAAAAATCAAATTCAGCTCTTTGATTTTTTTTTCCTTAATTATCTATATATCCTATTAAAACAATAGTCCAAGTTACAAAAAAAAGGATGACGTGTCGCATTCTCATGCATTTTTTTCCCGTCCACCAAAAATTACGTTATTTTATAAAAAAAAAAGAGAAAAAGAAAGAAAGAAAGAAAGAAAGCTTCATTTATCATAATCAAATTATCACGTAATTAATGGGACTAATTGATATCATTCCATTTTGAAAAATAAAATATAAAATCATTCCTGCCTATCATTTTAAATTATGTTATTGAATGACATCTTTGACTAAATAAATATATTAAACACTAGGAATCATTGTATTAATGTGCATTGATCTTGATTGATACTCCATAACTAAAAAAAAAGACGCTACATTAAAATTTCATAATCAACAATTAAAAAGGACTACCCTATTGTAACAAAAAAAAAAAAGACTACCTTATATTAATTCTTCCTGCATAACTCACTATATTCTATAAAATACTTCCAAATTTAAAAATATTACATTCACCTCTTAGCTCTAATTTTCCGTCTCAAAAACTACTATGATTCAGTATATATACCTCACTTTGGAACATTATTCACTAGGACATCAACAAAAATCAATCAATGTATATCTTATTAAAAGAGAAGTCCAAGAGAAGAAAAATGCTGAGGTGTCGCGTTATGATTAAAAACTTTTTCTCCAAAACACCTTAAGTCAAAACTACGTCGTATTGTTTAAAAAGAATTTTAACATCATATACATAAAAACAGATTTATGTTATAAATGTATATAAAAATTAGATAATTCTATTGTTAGAGAAATATTAATTATGTATTGTATTCTAATTCAACATTTTATTTTCAAAAAAAAAAATCGACGCCTATGGTTAAACAAATTATTGAAACTTCACGGGTAAAATTACGAAAAAAATCAAACAAAATATTTTTTTTACATTCAAATTGAATCATTCTAATGCCAACCTTTTTTTTTTAAGAAAAAAATTAAAATTTCACGGGTAAAATTATGAGAAAAATTCAAGTAAAATGTTCTTTTTATATTTAAGCTCAAAGATATTAATAATAACTACTTAATTTTTACATCTTCTTTTTTAATCTTATTTTTTACTGTCATTTATTCTTTGTATAATCCTTTTTTCTTTAGATTATATTTCATAATTAACCGTTAATTGAGTATGGTATTTTTTCAAAAACTAATAATTATTTTAATAATGAATGTTACTATATTTTGTGCAACGCATGGGAGAGAACCTAATAATATATAATAAGGCTACTGTCGACAATAAGAACTACAGTTAAATATCTATAAATTAATACTGTTAGGACCGTTAAAAATTATTAATTTATCGATGTATTAATATATCGATAAATTAATAATTATTAATTCATTGATTAATTAATCATACTAATTTAGAAAAAAATTCCAAAAAATCTGATTAATCTTTTAATCTTAGCCGTATAAGATATATATTCATTTATTCCGTATATCCCATAACCATTAGAATTAGGCTCCACCATTATCTCAAATTTTATCACCTACCTACTCTATCTAACATGCCTAGATTTGACCTTTTGATGGGAAATCCTTAAACTCCCATCAATTGCTAGATACATCATACAAAAAAATCATAACATGTACAAAAATACTTTGATCCTCAAGTCATTATTAATATATGATATTGATGGGACCTTTATTTACATAGGGGTTTATTAAAAAATTATTATCTTATTATTTTATCGATTGTCTTTCTTTTTTATACTGGTCCCCACTTAGGACAAAAAAATTATTGATTTATTGATATTATTAATTTATCAATTATTAATTTATCGATGTTCTACTGTAATTAGTGTGTCAGCATACTTATTAGAGGTCCGTCTTGCTGCTGATGTCATGAGAGAAAAACATCTACGGTACAACAAGTTTTCGCCCAATTGCAAGTACGCAAGCAGCAATCAAAATTTTCAAGTCAACCTGCAATGCTTTTTATCTCTGTTAATATTGGATTTCTTTTTATTCTTTTTTTTTTCTTTTTTTTTGGGGTTCAGAAAGCACTTATTAGGGTAACACGCGATTTTTGGTTATCTCGTAGTGATTTTACTACTCACACCATTCTTATGATTTGAATGTTACTGTTACACAAATAGGATCGGAAGAAATATTTGATCATTTCTTAAAGGAGAAAAAATTTTTGTTGAATGTAAGTGAGTAAATTGTGAATGCAGAGATCATAATGAATCAGTGACAGGATAACATGACTCGTAATTTTAAGCTGAGTGCTAGTTCTGCAAGATTGAACAATTACAAAGAAAAGCTCCATAGTTCCCACACTTCATGCAAATAAAATATTCCTTCCGTCCTATAATTATTGTCCAGTTTGAGTTTTCATTTTTAGCTGACAATGTACAAAAAGTGAAATCTCAAATTAGACAATAATTTTGGGACAGAGGGAATACTTGAGGAAAAGGACAAATATAAAACATATTTCTGTATTGTTTCAACTTTTAATTCAACAAATAAGTCGTTTTACTTTTAGGGTTAGAATTAGTTAACTCTTCTGGACGTCTCCAAATTAAGCTGCTTAATTTACTAGGTTTTTTTTTCTTTTTCTTTTTTTGGTTAGGCAAATCTTGAATGTCTAAATCTAAATATATCCAGCAGAGGGAGGTGAACTGACAAAAGAGTAGAACGTGGAGATTTCTCTATCAGTTTGCCCGAAAGCAAAACGATAAATAAAATCTCAAGCAAAATCTACCTTTTCTGCAAACTGAAACTGATGCATGCAGACAGTAACAGTGAGGATGTTGTCTGCAAAGGCTTTGATCTTCCCCTTCTGAACTCTCACTTTCATCATTAATTCTTCAAAATTCTATCTATCCCAACTTGCAACTTGCAACAATTAATTAGTTTAACATATACTGCTACCGTCCTATCATAAGTGATAGTACATTATAATACGATTTATAATGTGAAATATTTTTGCGGGATAGAGAGACTACTAATTTACTCTATTTTCTATCCATTTCAACCAAAAAAAAAAAAATAAAAAATGAAAGAAAGACTCTATTCTCTGTGTTTATGAAATGCCAAGGAAATGGGATATTACTCCTTTTGTCATTATTTGTTGCTTTTTTTGGTCATTGATTTGGGCCATTACAATTAATTTCTAGCCACATGAGATATAGTATTATTTGTTGCAAGCAAGCTTATTAGTAGTGGGCCGAAATCTAAAAACTAATTCGCATTTACTCTTTTTGTAAATGAATAGTTGCTATATTACTCACGTGTTTTTGTCTTTAATTTTTTTTTGGGTGGAAAATCACTCTTATTAATAATGAAGAGAGATCAGAGATACAGTACACAAGGTTATAAATTAAAGTAGGTCTAGCTTGATCATCAATAGTTGTTTCAGAAAACGGAAACTAACATACTATTTCTTTCGTTGGGTTAGAATATGCGAAAGATAATATATAAGCGCGTCTTTGTGAGTATAATAATGTATGCATTTGACTACTACACAAAATTTATACACTAATAATATATCGGTGTGATTGTAAAAGTGTAACAAATACAAATAGTTTGATTAAGATGAGAGAAAGTGCAATATAGTGTGGTCCTCAATCTATATATCATCAAGTTCAACACGTGATTCTTCTGCATCATTTGCTAGATATCGGTTAAGTGTTTAAAAATATTAATTTCAACAAGAAATAAATATTCCGTAAATTAAAAATGATAATTATAAGCTTCAAAAATTAATTCATCCTAAGCAATCGAAATGGTGTAGCAAATGATGCCATTAGGTAAGGCTAATTCTCTAGAATGTGAGAGACACATCAAATTTTGTGGACCAAGAAAGAAATCAAATCGGGTAGTTAAAAACTTAAACATGCCTTTTAATTATGAAAAGGTAGATGCAATTTGCATACCGACCTTTCACCTAACATATCTTTGAATCTAACCTCTAATAAGATTGTGTTCAAACCTTTGCAACAAACTAAACTATAACAGTGTTAATCAATTCTGTGTAAACTAAACTATATATGTAGTGGACTACTTTCCTGTTTTTAGATTGACATTGTATTGACGGGAAAAATCATTTTGGAATTGAAATACATGGTATTTTGTTAGGATACGTGTTGACAGGAAAATCAATTAAAGAAAAAGATGATAAAAATGAGCAATGACGATCAGATGATCGATGCAATAAGCTGATTTTTATTTTTATACTCTTTCCGTCCCATAGTTATTGTCCCGTTTAGGTTTTTATTTTTAGTTTAAATTGTACCAGAGGAAATACCATTTTTTCAAAAAAAAAAAAAGGAAAAGAAGAAAGCCAAGATCATCATCAATGGCGTAAGAAGGTTAATTGAGTCCACGTACAATTCAACACCGTAGAATATTGTAAACTTTGACCTTGACTATGAAAAGAAATGGGGTTGATCTCTGAAATAATAAAAAAATCACTAGGGAGTATCTGCTGTTACTTCCAAGCAAAATCAAAAGTATCGTGTTAGG